TTATTATTGATATGATTTACATTAATATAATACTTTAATTATAAGAAAAATACATTTATAACAATAAGCTTCCGATTTTTACAAATTTATTAAATTTAATTATTTACTATATTGATAAGAAAAAAAGTCTACTTCTATTAAAAAAGAAAAACTATCATTCCGATTTGTAGACTTATATTAACCAATAGTAAAAAAGTCCATTTTTATTAAAAAAAAAAAAAAAATTAGTAAAAACCTGAAAAAACTACTATTCCAATTTGTAAAATTACCTTAACTAACAGCAAAAAGTCCACTTCTATTAAAAAAAGAAAAAAATTTGTAAAAACCTGAAAAGACTACCATCCCGATTTGTTAAATTACCTTAACTAATAGTAAAAAAGTCCACTTCTATTAAAAAAAAAAAGAAAAGTTAGTAAATATCTGAAACTTACCATAGAAATGCTACTTAACTTATCCAAAAGAAAGAAAATTTGGTGAAAATAATAAGTAAAAAACTGAAAAATACTCCTGAAAGAATCCCAAAAAGCTACTTACTGTATCTTATTCAAAAGAAAGAATTTTTACTATAAAAAAAGTAAAAATTGAGAAAAAAGCGTTTCTAAAAAAAAAATAAAAAGAGAAAAGAAAAAGAAGAAAGGGTGATTCCGATTTGCTAAAAAAGGTTAAATATATATATTTTATGTTTTACTATGATACATAATGATAAGATTAATAGTAAACAAATAATAATAAAAAGTTAATGAAAATGAAAATTATCATCGAATGCTACGAAATGACAAAATTCCTCTCGAATTGGCAAAATTTCACTTTCAAAATGAAATTTGTCTTCGAATTGACAAAAATTGCCTTTGAATGTGAAATTCGTCTTCATTTGATGAATTTTGTTATGATTCATTATGAAATTTTTAACGAATCGTTATTACGAATTTCGTAATAAATCATTCAACAAATTTCATTACGATTCATTACAATTCGTTATTACAAAATTCATAATGAATTGTACAGTGAATTTCATTATGATTTGTTAAACGAAATTCGTGATGAATCAGTTAACGAAATTCGTATAATGAATCATTCAGTGAAATCTGTAACAAATCATTTTACGAAATTCATTTAACAAAAACTATAATGAATCATTTTACAGAATTCATTTAATGAATCGTTAACAAATTTTGTTTAAACGAATTATAACGAATTTCGTTAAGCGAATTGTTAACGAATCTCTTTTAACAATTTTTAACGAATTTCGTTAACTGATTCATAATGAAATTTTATTGAACAAATCGTTAACAAATTTCGTTGAACGATTTATTATACGAAATTTGTTTAAATGAATTGTATGAATTTCGTTAACCAATTCGTAACAAAATTTGTTAAACAAATCATAGCAAATTTCGTTATAACAAATCGTAACGAACTTCGTTTAAATGAATCGTAATGAATTTTGTTAACCGATTCATAATGAAATTTGATTAAATGAATCATAATGAATTTCATTAACTAAATCATACGAAATTCGTTGAATGATTTTTTAACGAATTTTGTTATAATGAATTTCGCTAACCAATTCGTTATGAAATTGGTAATAACAAATCGTAACGAAATTCTTCGATTCGTTACAAATTTTATTTAAATAAATCTTAATAAAATTCATTATACAAGTCATTACGAATTTCGTAATAACGAATCGTAATGAATTTTGTTAACCAATTTATACAAAATTCGTTGAATGATTCATTATACGCAATTCATTATAATGAATCGTAACAAATTTCGTTAAGAGAATTGAATTGTTAATAAATTTCATTAAAAGATTCGTTATAATAAATCGTTATAACTAATTTTGTACTATTCATTTAGACGAAATCATATAACGAATTTTATTACGAATTGTTAACAAATCTTAACGAGACTTGTTAGCGAATTGTTACCAATTGGTAAATTCTAATTGAATAATAATCATCAATCAGATATTAAACTGATTGATAACTAATTATTAATTGAATCCGATTTGTTGCTATTTAACATATAGTTATAAATTTAATAAAATAAGTATAAAATCAGGTTAGAACCCGATTTACGTAATTCTACTTAATAATTATGATTATGGTATTAACCGGATTATAGTATCTACTGATTTCTATCTATTGATTGCTAATCAAAAAATAGTGACCAATCAGGAAGGTACAAGATTTATCAGCGTTCGACCTGTATTCATACAGTTTATGTATTATTTAGAATCATTAGTGATTGAATTATTCAAAAAATATAACAAATTGTGATCAAACATTCTGCGTTATGTGAAAAATAGTCTTCTTTCTAATTCACCTTTAAATCAAATATTTAATACAATTTTGAAACCTTTAACTAATAATAATATCGAATTGGAAAATGAAGAATTTGGATTTATCTACAAAAGATGTATCTTAATCTATATGAAAAGTCATCAAAAAACATGAAGGGACATTAATAATTATATTCTGGAAAAAGACACTGCAAGTTTAATAGAAAACTTGAAAACAATGCGTTCAAATCATTCTACAACAGAAAATAAAAAACCTTCTCTCATGAAAAAAGCAAATTTATCTACTAATTTTACTTATGCTTTGGAATAATTTCAGATATGGACACAGCTTGAAGAAGTAGAAGATTCATTCACTAAAATATTTTAGTATACAAATTATTATGGTTAATCTGAGCATTTGGGATTTCAATACCATATAAAAAAAATAAAAGTTGGTACCTATAATTGTTTCCAACTTGAAAAATCAGTCATCTTTTACTGATAAAACACTTAAAAAGAATTATTTTTATAGAATAATGAAAACGTGGATTGTTTAATATAAATTTTATAATAAAGAAGTAAAAAAAAATATATATTACATTTAAAAAAATTTTTTTATTTTTTATTATTAATGTTAAGAATTACATAAAAACCCTTAATTAAACATACTTGAGATAATTAGAAAGCTAATAACGCACTAAATGCTATGAAATTTTGGCAGTAAAAAATTTTTATGTATGCTATTTTATACTCGAGCAACGGCTTTTAGAAAGATTGTGTGTCAAAAGTTTTAAGCTTGGGATATTTTTTTTTGATATAATAATTATATAGCAAAAAATGATCGGTATAAATTCAGGGGTGATAGTTTTGATGGTGACACAACAAATAAGCTGTTTCCCTACACCCTTCAGTTATAGTGAGATTCAACTGTATAGATATTTATAGAAAAGGTATTACTGAAAAGATAGTAGAGTTTACTACTAAAATATAAGTTTCATCATCATGTTACTGATACAATTTATCATGAAATAATGAAATAAAAATAAATTTTACTTTTAAATCATATTTTTAAAATTCTGAATTCTGATTGGCTCATATCGTGTCACGTGATACTTACATAATTTACAAAATTGAGAAAAATTTTTTTTTATATAAATCAATTCAAAAATTTTATTATAGAGGTTTTGCACTGTAGTATTTATTAAATAGAGTATTAGTATCAAAAAGTTCATCGTTCATTTACGGTTGATATGAAATCACGTGTCGAGTATTTATCAACACAAAAAGATAACTAAAATTTAATAAACTCGTTTATTTATAATTATTTGTTATCGTATCAATTTAAAGAAATTATTTTGGGGAAAAATTCACTGAAAAAAAAATGGATTGATTTTGAACGTCCTTATTTGAAATTTTTTTTTTAAATGAGAAGGGATCATCATTACGCCGAATTTTTCCATGCAGCAAAAGTTGAAAATCGGCAAATTCTACAGCAAAAGCCACATTTTAAACGTGTCAATCCTCGTAAATAAAGAACATCAAACTTTATTTTTTTTTTTTTTTACAATTTTAAACATGATTCCTAACGAATTTGAAAAAACTAGGTACTACGAACAATGCATAGATGAACAAGAGTATGATTTATGCCCCGATTGCGATCAACCAAAAACTTATAGATGGTGGTGTCGGAATTGCAATTCTAAAATATTACAACAAAATTTCCGTAACTGGACGAGTGGAAATGAACATATTGATAAATTTATTCAGGAAACTCAATTGAAAGCAAGGAATGAATTAGAATTATTAGATTGGATCCCTTATGATCGTTTAAGAAATATAAAATATCTTGCTAGAGGTGGTTTCGGCACCATTTATAAAGCCATTTGGTTGGATGGATCGATTTGGAAGTATAATAAAGATAAACAAAAATGGGTAAGATACATTGAACATCTTAGAAAGGAAGTTCATGAGAACGCGGAAAAAGAGGGAGTCACTTCACCCATTAAGGATGATGAAAATTCCGGAGTTTATGTAGCTCTCAAGAGTTTAAATGATTCTTCAAATATTCATCAAGATTTTTTGGATGAAGTAAGTTTTTCAATTTCAATTTTATAATTATCTTGATAAAAAATAATTAACCTTTTGATTAATTTAAATATCAAGTGGAAAAATTATTTACAATTCATGTATTCAGTTAGAAATCATAATTCATCTTTCATGATCATTTATGGAATAACTCAAGATCCTAAAACGTTGAATTATATGATCGCATTAAAAGAAATGAAAGTTGGTAGTTTAAGGTCTAACCTATTGATAAAAAAATATAATCCGAACGATAAATATGGGAACCTACTTCACATCACAACGTCACTTTCCGCTTTGCATGGATGTAATTTATTTCATGGGGATTTTCATAGTGGCAACCTACTTTTACAAGAACAAAATCGTGTTTTTGTAAGTGATTTGGGATTGAGCAGGTCACCTGATCACTCTAAAAATCCTGATGCGATTTATGGAGTAATTCCTTACATGGCACCAGAAGTTTTGCTTGGCAAGCCATATATCAAAGCTTCTGACATCTATTCCCTTGGTATAATTATGTGGGAATTCACATCAGGCGTTCCCGCTTATAATGATGTTTCTCATGATTTTCATCTATCCATAGAGATCTGTCAAGGGTTAAGACCAAAAATAATTGAAAATACAATTCCCGAGTATGTAGAGATTATGAAAAGTTGTTGGGATTTTGATCCAAACAAACGGCCCAGTGCTGATGATTTGGTACAAAGATTCAAAATATTGGTTAAAAGATATCCATATAGTAATAATCGGGTACCTGTGCCAGGTAATAAATTGATGCTTTATATAATTTTTTAAAAAAACTCAATGATAAGATTTTATAATCTTTTCGTAGAAAATGATCTTAACATTCAAAATCATCCATCATCTTGCTATACAAGCAGAAAAATTGAATATTCTGCCAGAATAAATGAAATTATAAGTCAAGAATTAAGTTCTAAAATTATTATTAATCAAGGAGGAGATGATGATGAAGTCGTCATGATAAACGACGAATTAGGTTAGAAATATGATATATATTTTTTCATTTATTTGATTTTGATTTGATTTCCCCTAATAATAATATTATATGGCATTTTTTTTAGATAATTTTATGATCTGAATTTAAATTCATTTTCCATTAAGATAAAATGCCCTCTTCACTTTCGTTATTTATTTTTTTAGATGATTTTACTATTTTATTATTTATTATTATTTTAACTAATATATCCACGATTAACCCACTTACTAAATTTACTGCGTCAAACAATTGATAAGGTGCCGATTTGTTTCGCAGTAATACCACCACATTTATTTAAATATCCTCGACTATTTCTTCTTCGCTAAAGCAAGGGGAAATAATTAATAGTTGGGAAACGAATACAATTACAAAATTAACAATAAAAGTACCAAAATTTTTCATCAGCGCTATACCATTGTGAATTTTTCATTTCTTTATCATTCTTGATATTACCATTTCCATAGTTGCTTGTTTTCTTGAGGTTCAAAGATAGATTTCGGAAATTTTGATGTCTTCCACCTCTGACAATGTTATTATGACGCTATAATAAACATAAAGTTATATTAAATGAGTCAGCTTTATACAAATATACTTGAATAAAATACTGTAAAAATCACAAACTAAACTGGATATTAATGGTCTGAAAATCTAATATACAATTCGTATTAGCTATTTAATTACTCATAAATATTATAAGCTTATACTCTCCTCGAAACTTTTTGATTTCACATTGTAAACTGTAATTCGCTAAATATCCACTTTACATTGTATGCAAAAAAGGAAAACAAACCCAAACCTTTTTGATAGCCTTAGTCTCGACATTAATATGCTCAATCAACTTATTACGAAGGTATTCACTCTAAATAAATTGAAAAAATATTGTTGAATCGAAATAATTCAAACTTTCCATTTAGTCACTTTATAAAATGGTGTTTATAAGTTTACCTCATCTAATTCTTTCTTAAAAAGTTCATTTTGCGTTCTTAAAGACGCAATTTGTTCACAACTTTGGTCATATAACCATTTCATACGATCTGCTTCTCCACTAAGATATCCAACTTCGGAACACTTATGAGTATAGGCTTCTCGTAACCAATTAACTTCTTCTATCAACTAAATGAGACAATAGTTAATTTTTTAACTTGAGCGAGTAATGAAAAACATGTAAGTAATATACTTTGTCCCAAGCTATAGAGGTAATTTCGCCGATTTCAGACATATCAATTTCAATCTTTTATTCTTTTTTGAGAGAGTTAGAATATCGAGAATGCTTTTAGAAATGATTTTTTGTAGAAAAAGGTGGAAGATATAAATGAAGGTGGAGAGTATAAATTAAGTCTATTTAAACCTATTTGCGATTCGTAATTACTATTGAATACTTGTTACGGTTTTTTATAAGGTTATCCTTTATATTTCATAATTATCGAAGAATGAAGATTTGACAATTTAAAATTTATTCAGTTATAAATGTTGTTTTACATATTTATTCACCCCTTTACATTATATCACAGGCAGAAACGCAATAATTTCTTTGATACTAATTTTTTTTTGGTATTCTATAAGCTTTTCTTACGATTGAACAATCATATGTTCTTTACTCTTTCGACTCCTTTCCAAAAACGATTCGACTTTCGTAATAAATTATTATCTATAAATAAAAGAACGATTATTTATTTACGGTAATGGATGGAATGTCAAGAAATTATAAGATCATAATTGATACCTTTTGGGGACATTTGATATTAGCCACTTTATTAGGATGTGCAGAGCGAGATCCATTTTTCCTAAATAATTAAAAAAATAATTCTTTCGCTTTCACAACATAATACTGCAATAAGAACATAATATTTAAAATTTTAATTACCACTTTAATGAGCTATACCATTCCCCGGTAACTTCATGTTTAAACATATTTTCTACCTTTTCAACCTGTTCTTCCCAATCCCCTTTAATCCGTGCCGGAATGTCTTCTCTAGAGTCATCTTCGTTTTCATCAAAATTAGGTTTTGTTTTCGCAATTGGTTCATCACATTTGTTAAGGTATTCTTTGATTAATTGTTTGTCACTAGTATCAAGATAAATTTATGAACAAATTTATTTAGTTCTGAAATGACGTTGATAAATAATTCTTTTTACCATTTATCTGCATCGATCCATTCGGCATCATCAATCGTTTCCCATTTTACGAGATATTGAATTTTACCCTAAAAATATTTTACGTGCTAACGTTTAGTTAAATTAACAAACAATTGATTCGGTTCGTAGAATTTTCTTTTTATACCCTCCGGTATTTTATTCCAAGGATGGCTTCCATTGTAATTTCTTCAATCTTTTGTCCATCATGAACTTCCTCGTCAACATATCTTGCATACTCTGACGCTTTATATTATTAAATAAGATTAAAAGGTAAACAATAAAGAAATAAAATGTTGAAACTTCAATCATCCTACCGGAATTGAAAAAAATAGAGGCATAATATCGAATTTTATCTTCATTTAGTTCATAGATGGGAATATTGATATTGGGAACATTCATGATTCATGAGGAAACAATTTGAAATAATTGATAAAATAATTCTTTATTTTTTTTTTTTAAAAAAAAAACAAGTGTTGGAAAGAAAAAAAAATGGCTGATTTTATTTAAGACTTTAAAATTCATGCGTCATTACATATGTCATCTAAATATAAAACTCCATGTCAAATATATTTGCAGGAACGAAAAATTGTCATGTAATAAAATTTAAACTTTCGGAAATAGAAATTATCCAAACATCGATATATACAATAATAGAATAGATTGCATTAATTTGAACATGTATTCCTATACATCTTGATAATTCCTTTTTCTTTATACCTTTGAAGAACGTCAATATGTTCATTCGTCATACTTTGAACGTGATAAGTTTTAAATGTTAATTGATTTCCTTTTCTACCTTCCCAGTTTTCCAAAAACTTTATTAATCCTTCCACAGAAATTTCCCAATTAAGCATTAAATTAATTGTATTAAGGCTTAATGGTGCAAGAGTGACTATTAATTCCAAAATACCACAATTCAAACTTCCATGAGTACGGGTAGATACTAGTATAAGTTCAGTTAAACATCGACAATTGATCAATATTTGTTGCAATTCTTTTAAATCTTTTTGATCCACTACAAGGTTAACGCTAGAAAGTTTTGGACAATGTTGATAAATGATTTGGAACAACTCTTTGGAATGAATCTTGTCGTAAAAATATTTTCTTATTCGAATCAAATTAAGAGACCCTTGGGTTTTAGAGACGATTTTTGATAAAGTAGATTGTGAAGAATTTCCCAATTGAAGTATTTCCAATTTAGGACAATCTAATTGAGAAAACAACCCTTCAAAATATGTCCTATGATTACGATTCAATAAGGAAACTACTCTCATATTTTTAAATTTTCGATAGAATTCAGGAGGAGGGAAATTAATTTCTCGATCCAAATGAGCCGAAAATTGTAAAAGGTTATCCGAATGTACCAGCAATGCAATTCCCAATCCTATAAGAGGTGCTTTATCTTGATTGAATATTTCATGAAATTTATCAATTTCAAATTCGAAAATTTTCAATTTTTGTTGAACGCTAATGAATCGATTCAAACCTACATTCTCGTTTAAAAATGATATTAAACTTATTTTTTCTAATCTTTTACAGATCAAAGATAATCCATAAAAGAATGATGGATCGATCTTCGTAATACATGTTAAATGAACCAGTTCCGGGAGACAATCGTTTGCGCCGAAAAAGTTATGTAATTGATGTTTGTATAGGACATCGTAATTAAATGTCTTTAATGTCAAGGATTTTATACTTGAACATTCACTCATGAAAAGTTTGAATATTTCTTGCTCTAGGGCATATCGTTGATAATCATATTGTTGATCAGAATCGATTAACAAATATATAAATGCGAAGGTATATTCCAAGTCAAGATTATTACAATAGCTGATATAATTAACCAAAGGTCTTTGTTGTAGTGTTATGAAATGTTTAATATCCTGGCTTGCTAAAAGTTCTCTTGATTCCTTAGGTAAATGTGACAAGATCGTTCTGAATAAAAGCAACACTTGGCTGAATTCATAAATCCTCCGTTTGTTTTCCAGAAATTTCCAAGGGTCCTTCCAAAGGATCGATACAAATGTTTCAAACCAAAGCCTATTAACTAGCAGACAGGAGAATAAGAGATTATTGTTATCTTTCAACTCTTCAGAGATGAGACAAAGTATATCTTTATTAAAATTTGACATTTTTAAAAAGTGAATTTGTATACTTAAGAGAACAGTGATTTTTATTTTTATACGAGTATACTTAAGTTTCCTTATCGAGGTTAACCATTACGTAATCGATCGTCTGATCGACCTGATTTGTATTTCGTGGCCTTGAATGAATTTTATTTTCGCAAAACGATTATTGATTGTTCGGAACATTTAAAATGGAAAGAAGAAAAACATAATTAAATAAATCTCTAGAAATTGTTAATTTTTAGATTTTATGTGAAATGCATTGATATTCGAACGCATCATGAAAAATTTGGAACAACAGAGCTTACCTCATAACCCACAATCGAATTCTTTTTCGATAATTAGGTATGTATACTCACATGGAAATCCGTCCCCACTTCACCTATAAAAAATAATCTTGATCATTAATCCTGAAAAATTAATAATTGTTCATTCCTTCGGTCATTGAATTAGCATGCTGAGAAAGAATTATACCATGATCCAAGAAATTCCACCATCTCGATAAAAGCGTCTCGAAGGATATAATAACAGTTAAATCCTTGAATCATGATACTTTAATACTTCAATTAATTATCCTTGAAAAAGAGCAGTCTTTAGGAATTGGAATGAAGATCAAGTAGAAGAAAGTGAAATTAAAAAATTCAATGCAATCTCATCCTTTTACGAAAAAGCTTGCTTTCAGCTAATTTGATAAATTGGATTATTTCAGCTCTCCAATTTGGCAATTCTTGGATAGATTTTATAGAATGGTGCTGACAGCTTTTCATTTAAATTTTACGTTATTAGATATTCTTCATTAGTTTTTTCTTTTGGGGGATATTGAAGGAGAATTTTGATCCAAACGGGTTTGAAATAGAGCTATGGGGATAGTTAGTTTATTATTTATTTTTACTTTTTTATTTATTTTAAATTAGTTATTTTTGTCAATAAAGTACTGACAGTACCACATCTTTAAAATTAAAAATAAAAAATTATTAGTCCTCATTAGATTTTTTCCAAGAATTTTTACTTTAAAAAATTGTCTCTTCAAGAGCAGCCATAGCTTAGCTTGCAAATAAAATAAAAAACTCTCTTTTTAAAAATTTTCCTCTTTTATTTTCCCATATCCCTATCCATATAAAATGTCAAGATAGTTTAAACAGTATTATTTTTTCTTTAGCTCTTTTTGACAAATTTTTCATTTTTTCTCTTTTTCTTTATTTGCTTACAAAAAGTGAGCATCAAGAAGTATCACAACTAATGATTAAAATCAACATGATGATACTCCCCTTTCTTCTTAAATGGTATACTCTTTTTGATTGGCTAATAGCCTTTTTACAGATTTTAAAGTTGAAGATCACAGAATACCACATAATATTTTTCTGGACTTATATAACTGTGTAATTTAGGCCTTATTCTATGCTAAAGATTAACTGTAATCTAAATCAACAGATATTTTAACAAGATTAGAAATGTAAGTCTGAAAAGCCTCTATTAGAACTTAGTAATATGGGTTGTGATCTAAGAAAATCAGGTTCTGAGAAATTTTTGACTAAAATTAATGTCTTATTACATTTTGGTCTAAATGTAATAAAAATTAAAATGCAATTAAAATCTCAATTTTGATAAAAAATTCTCAGAACTTGATTTTCTTAGATCACAACCCATATGAGTATATCTGTATCAGGTGATTATTGTAATCTGGAATTAATTAGACAATTTAAATAAAAACTTAAATAGAGTTATTTAAATAGTTTTAATATTTTCTTTTTGTACTAATTTCCTAATTTTAGGTATTATTTTTAGTAATAGTATTTTGTTTTAAGAAAATATGAATAAAAGGACATTTAAAAAATACATTGCTTTCTAATACTACCCTCTCAAAAGATGGTAGAAATCATTCAACTTAAATAAAAGCATAGTAGGTAGGTATACTGCAATAATATAAAAATTTTATATGTAATTTTTTAAATGTAATTTTACTATAACACATTAATAAATTTTTTGTGATAAGACTATATCATTAATAATTTAAAAAAAACATTAATTCAAATAAAATTTCTTTTTTTTTATTGGATTATTTTCAAGAATTTTTACTTTAAAAAAATGTTTATTCAAGGATAGTCACAGCTTAACCTAAAAATAAAACAAAAAACCTCTTTCAAAAATTTTTATCTTTTATTTTTCTACACTTTTATCTTCATAAATATTATCAATAAAGTCTAAACAGTATTATTTTTTATTAAATATTTTTTTTATCTCTTTTTAACAAATTTTTTTTGCTTTTTTATTTTTATTTAATTGTTAATAAAAAGTGAGTATAAAAAGTATTTTAACTAATGATTAAGATCAACATACTTTGTATAAACAAATCTCACATAATGACACTTTTCTTTCTTCCTAAATTATATAAATCTTTTGATAAACTAATAATATTTTTGATGTTAAAAATCACGAAATATTATGTGATATTTTTCTGGGCTTATACAATTGTGTAATTTAAGCCTTATCCTATACTGAAAGTCAGCTGTAATCTAAATTAACAGATATCTTCGCATTAAAATATAAGTCTAAAGAAACTCTATTATAACTTAGTAATATAAACATACCTGTATTAAGTAATTGCTATTAGGGTTCCTCAAAATCAAATCAAATCAAATATTTAAGCAATTTGAATTTGATTTGATTTTTTCAAATCGAATCGAA